TTGAGAATATGATGTTTTTAACAGGTTCAGGGAAGCTAAAGAGAAAAACATGGTCTGAAAGGGTTGTAGAGTTTATATCAAGTCAGATAAAATGTGATGCAAATTCACTACAGAACACATTTTAGCAACAAAGTGGCATCGTCTTCTGATAAGAACTAGCACAGCTGCTGTGTTCCACACGCTGCTAGCACCCATCAAATCTCAGCCAGCAGGCGTGAAGATTAAAGGAGACGAGGAATCAAATAAACATACGTTTCTCAAGCTGCTCGTTTTCAAACAAAAATGCTTCTTTAGGGGGAAAGAAAACGACAGGAAAAAAAACAAAAAAAAAACGGACAGCTTCTTCTTTGGGAGATGATGAAACTGTTCGTCAACACAAGGACTGGCATAGTCTAGAAAACAAAGCTGCTGGTGAAGTTCCCGTCACCTCACTGCTAAAACAACCTGAAAGAGGGACTCTGGAGTGCGAGTGTGTGAGGGTGTGCGTGTGAGAGAGGGAGCATTCTAAGCTTGCAGATTACATGCAGAAGTAGTCTGAACTGGACGAGGCAGAAGCAGCGTTTCTCTCCACAGGAAGCAGCGCGTCGGGGCATCAAAGGAAATGTATGAACATCAGCAGCATCCAAAATAAAGAGGATTAGCGCGTCATGCTAGGTTTAAACAGAAGAACACGACTGCCACGCTGGTATTTTTTTTTTTTTTTCTTTCCACGCCAGTAATTTGCTCCCAACACGAGAAGTTGCTTGTTGCGGTTGAAAGCCGACCTTTGCTGTTCTCGTCCTCTCCGGTCTCCTCCTCTTCCACGTCCTCCACGTCCTCCATGTCTGCTGGGTCCATCTCAGCCTGGTCTTTGCTGCTCAGGGGGGGAGAAGAGAGACGGCGGTCAGCCAAAGCACACACACTTCACACTCCTCCACTCCACAGAAACGATTCAGCAGGTAAACTGGGACATAGAGCAGCAGCATCACATGGAAACTAATTATTTTAAAGATCAATTAATTGATTATTTTGATGATTAAATATGACTTTTTTATAATCCCACATTCTACAGATACTTCATTTTCAAACAACTTTTTATACAATATTAAACATTTTTGTCTCATTAAAATCCTTCTTTTAAATGAGACAAACATTTTATTGCCTAAAATGCAGCAGCAGCAGCTGCAGCATTCCTTCAGTAGATCTGAAATGGGTGAAGTTGAAACTTCACAACTTGAGTTTTGGCTAAAACACATTTATAGACAAAACATGCTTTTTCCATCTTAAATGCAAAGTATAGATATTGTTTGTATAGCTTTAGCTTAGTTGCTGCTTTGAATACATTGGGCGTTTTTTTTTTTTCCCTTCATCAAATGGCCTTTTGAGTTTGTATACCAACGATTAATCATTACTAAATTAGTTGATTATTTCAATCAATCATTTCAGCCCTAACAAAAACTATTTCATAATTATGTTGATGGTAGTTATTTCAATCGGTTAATCTTTGCAGCCCTTTCAGAAATAAATGTAGTTGTTTCAATCGATTAATCGTTTCAGCCTGAGCAGAAACGATTCTAAAATAAGTGATTGTTTTGTTGCTTAACCTGCAAAGGGCATCATGTTTTGAGCTCCAACACTTTGCTTCAAAAGCGCCGTCACCAGCTGAGCAGCTTAGCCTCTCTGCAGCTCGGGGCGAGAAATAATCAATAGCTGGCTGTCAGGGAGACGGATCCGTCCCCACGGTGACGGCTGACATTCACCGAGCCGCTCTCAGCTCTTGACGGATCGCAGTCACCGTCGCTCAAACGTTAGAAAGAAAATGAAACTGTGATGTGTGGTGGTAGCCAGCAGACCTGGTTGGCAACGCTGCCCTCTAGAGGTGACGTTATGCAGACCACACCCGAATCAGTGATGTCAGCAGGTGTCAAGTGACCCCAATTAACTCAGGGGGACATTTTGGGAGGAATTTGTCGATAAAACTAAACACATTCAGGCTGAAGGATGCTATAGTCAAGCTTTAATTTGGCAAGAAAACTCTGAGTTTCATAGTTAGTCTATTGCTAATATTAGGGAGATTTCATATACATATAATTTCCCATTCATATGCAAATACTTTTAAATTAACTTCAAATATCATAGCAGAATTAGTCGTCGTTATACAATTGTGCTACATTTTCGTTGTAGAATACTTTTGTTTGAGGTGATGCACGTTTCTTTCAGTTTGGAACAAAAATAAACCAAGAAACCTGCTGAAACATAATGGATTAAATAACTCGCTGATCGACACTTACTTGTCAATGTCTGCCATCTTGATGATACTGGAGAGATAAAAGAAAAAAAAAAGTCAAGTCTTTTGCTAAAACATGTAATATGTGATAAGGATGGCTACTTATTGTATCATTTATTATGGTAAACGTCTTATAAGAATTCTGATTCACCGTTCTCATGATAAATTCCAGTTAATTCAATTTAAAAACCTCTAAAACTGTACTGGCACAATTGTTCATTTTATTATTTTTTTGTATCTTGTTTGTTCAATGAGGTCAATGAATTTGAAAATATGATTAAATGTAGTTACTGTGTGTATTTTAGTGATGCATGTCACACTACTTTTTGTCGCCGATGTCCAAAAGAAGGAAATGGGGAAGCTTTGCAAGAACTATATTTGTGTTCTTGGGGCTATAATTGCCGAGTCATACAGGTAGCTAAATAAAAATAAAAAGAGTAATAAATAGTTCTTATCAAAAAGTGGAACACTAAATGACAGACTGGCTGAGAAAATGGTGCTAAACTTGGTCCCTGACTGCCGACATAACTGAGGTGGGAAATCGAGCAGATCAGATCTAAAAAAAAAAAAAAAAAAAGCAAAAAATAAAAACTTTTAAAAATTGGCGTCTTCAGGAAAAGCCTGATCGCTGCACCTCGAATCAACATTTATGACCAGATGCAAAAAAAAAAAAAAACAATTGGAGGATGTACAGATTCGCTGTCGGATGACGCTCACTACAGAAATGTGTCGTTAAAGGATATCTGCATGACAATCAGCAAGTATGAAGACGACGACTCGTTCAGGAGGAAGAAATGGAGTCAGAAGTCTCACCGCTTCCCACAGAGGGATTACATGCAATGAGGAGAGCAAAGTCTTTCCTTTCTGTTCAGAGAAACCTGCCTGGAAATGTCTGGAGTCTGTGTGGATGGTGGAGAAACACTCAAGAATCCTCACTTTGTCACTTTAGGTCTACAACAACAGCCTCCAGTGTTAAAAAAAAAATAATTCATAAACAGTCAAGTTCCTTCCCACTCAACACAGATCCTGAATTAGTGAACAATCAAACTCTGAGCCCACGTCGTCTGAAGGAAAGTGTAACCAGAAATTCTGTCCAAGTCTCCATTTTTAGCTAATGATCATGTTGGTGTAGGCTGGACCTCTAGCATTAGCTTTTATTTAAATCATTACACATTTACTTGTTGCCCACTTGAGCTGGGAAGAATAGATTACCATGCCAGAGACAGATAATTTGGCCTTCTTCCATCACATGGGAGACACCTTTGTTTTGATCCAGCAGTTTTAGCCTTCAGGTATATATATTTTTTTTTTTAAATGCAGCTGCAACAATGCTCTTAGGACAACAAGCAAACCACATTCTGGGTATAATGAAATCTGTAAATAAAATGTTACAAGCCTCATTTCAGAGTCCACGTCCCAAGACCTGTAGCTTAAGTCAGATGCAGTCACAGGATTTTAAAGATGCATTTAAAAAAAGAAAAGAAAAAAGAAAAGAAAAAGGTAAGCCAACAGCAGATTGCTCAAGTGTGCGGGTCCAAAGTGTATAAAAAAAGAAAGTTGAGAGGAAGGAAAAGATGCAGTAAAAAGAAGGTCTCAGAAGCATTCTAAAAAGGACTGTCAAGCCCATTTAAGAGTTTGGAAAAGATTCTCAAGGCTTGGAATCCCACCAAATATCAATTAATCAGTCTCACGGATAAAAACTGATGCACTATTGCTAAATGGTTCACTCAGGTTTTATTAAATGTGGCCTTTCAGTAGGACAGCAAGGTACAACAGTCTGCAGGGAGAGTGTAGAGGCTTAGAACCAAAGTTATTTGTAGTATAATTTTAAGTATCTACACTGATTAATTTGGCTATGCCATTTGCTGCTGTTGATGTTTTTTGTCCTGTAAATAAATGCACAGTAAATACCTGGACAGTATAATGACGTTTCTTTGGAAAAAAATAAAATTAAAAAAAAATTAAAAATAGATATGAGCAATAAAAAAAAATCCCCCAAAGGCACTCTCCATTTTGACTTTTCATTCGCTTTAAGCCAAAATCATCCTTGAAATGCATCATTCCATGTATAATGAGTCTATGTAATATGACTTTCCTATTTTGAAATATGAAAATAACTTTTGCTTCACTATCCTACTTTAGTGACATGTGCCCATATGGTATATTAAAAAATTGTTTTTTAAAGAATTTATTTCAAGCCAATATTATCTCAAAACAAGCCACAGTGGTTTAGCATTTCAATCTTGTACAATCAAATCAAAAACTAAAAAATAAAAACATGTTTAGTTAGAAAGATCCATCCATCCATCAATTTATCACCACCCGGTTAACCCAGGATCGGGTCTCCGGGGCAGCAGAGGCCCTCCTGGCCCAGCTCCTCCAGTGGAACCCCGGTGCGTTAGAAATATGTTTAGGGACAGAACCGCGGAGCAGCAGATTACTGGGCCCAACTTTTCTTTTTGTGGAGAGCCGTTCTCCTCCTAATCCCGGCCACGACCACGTGTTGCACGCTGAGGTCTGCCAGACCATTAGACTAAGCCTGGATGGGAGGCTGCGCGTGTCAACATTTAGCCTTCATGCAAATTAAAAAAAAAAAAAAAAAGTCCCCAAAACCCCCAAGTCAAGCTATAAATGTAGGTCAGTATTTAGCCCCGGTGTGTTACCCGGTGGAACTCCAGCCGGGCCTCCCGCTTCTGCCGCCGAGCAGCTCCACTAATTCAGGCTAGTTAGCTAGCTTCTATGCTGTTAGCTTGATGCGCACCACTCAGCCCGAACAAGTGGGAGGAACATCTCAGTCAGACGGGCAGGCAGGCTGCCCCAGCTACATAATGTGGTCCAGTTACTAAGCGTCGCTATGTCCCCGACACCACGTTTTAACCCCCTTTGTCTTATGCAAGACTCCGGGCGGTCGTCGCGTGCGGTCAGCTCCTAGCGTCCACCCCGCCGCTCCCCACCCGGAGTATTACCGTCCCAAAACATAATGTTAAGTCTGAAAATACAAGAACCTAAACACGTGTCAACAAATGCTATAAACGTCGGAGCTTATAGCAATTATCCTAACGTGTTGTCATGTTAGAGGAATAACTAGTTAAAACCTTCCGGTAAAACAAAGAGAGACGGAGAACGGTTGTTTTATTCCTCTACAGGCGTGTAACGTTATCACATCATGGAGGAGCCTGTCTCAATGGCTGCTGCCGCTATCTCGTTTTGACTAGCATTAGCAAAGCGATAAACGTCTTCCTCGCGTCGTTTTCGCCAGCTGACAGAAAATTGAACTCCGTGGGCAACGCAAAAGTTTGGGGCGTCGGCATCCGAGCCCTTCCCAAGCGCTGTCGCTTACCTTCGCTCTGCGGCCGGAGGATGAACTGGTCTAGCGGCGCTGCGCAGTTAGGTAGTCTGAAGAAAGAGACTCCGCTCCGATGGCGGTAAAAGGGAGAGAGATCCCGCCGCCTGCGCTCATATACATCCAACGTCATCACGCAAACCTGCTGTCGCCGAGGCAACGCTGCTCATGGGCGGGGCGAGGGTGAAGATTCATCATCAAAACCAGCATCCTCCTTATCTCGACATATTAATGCTGCTAATGTAAAAACACAAAACCTTGTTTCTTGCTCTTCTTCAGCGTTTTTATTTTTTCTACCCCTAACCCTATTTTTCATAAATACCTCAGAACGTGATTGTGCGGACTGGAAGTATCTAAGTCCCTTAATCTTTTTTCATATTTTGTCATGTTTTAAACACATATTTCAATGTACTGAGCCATAAAACCACGGTGCAACCAATCCCCTTCATGATTCCTCTGATTGGATAATGGGCTCCACCTGTGTCGACCATATATCCAGCTGTTTTATGAAGGTCTTAGAGGTTTGTAAGAAAACAAACAGCATGGATAGTGATGGAGAAGTTTAAAACAGCGATAGGTGGCAAAAATATTCCAAACTATATCTCATGCAGCAAGTTATGATTTAAGGTACAGGAAGTATGGCTCACTGGCCAGGCTGTTCTGGACCCTGGCCTGCAATGCGAATTAGTCACAGCCCAGCAACAGCTGATTTATGTCGACAAAATAACTATCAGTCTACAAATCATACGAAGCATTATATGTAGTTTTATAGTCTTAGTCATATAGAGGATGTTGCAAGCATATAAAAAACTGTTTCCCTGAGATAAAATTGAATCCTACAAAGAAATATGATGGTGGCAGTGTTATGCTGTGGGGGATGCTGAGATCCTGGTCTGAACTGATGGGAAGATGGAGATCCTACAAAAAAAAAAAAAATGGAAAGAAACACAGGTACAAAAACCATTTGTTTATTAATAGTCATACTTTCCAGTAGAATCACCACTGATAATGTAACTTCAAAATACATCACCTTTATATAGTTTATGTACTACTTATGTAACAACCTGTAAGCATTTTTGGAGGACTGTTAAGATCAACTTTTCAAAACAGGAAATGAAAGGTCTGTTCAATCTGCCACAAGCTCTGCATACAGGAAGCATATTCAGCCACTCACAGTTTGAGAATTCATTCAAAAATAACCGCAATATTTCACTTAATGGTTATTTTTAATTTAGATTCTCATCTGGCTTCCGTTTGAAAAAAGTAAAAAAAAACAACAAAAAAAAACACTGGTGCAACTCGATCAGAGTTTCTGGTCGATGCATTACTCAGCAGATTCATGTTTCTTGTATGACACCATGTCGACTTCAAGCATTTTTATATGGCTAAAGGAGACATTTAAAACATTTTTGATGTGTTAAATTTTTTTCCTAATATTTCCTAATAGTTTTCTGTCTTCTTCAGCTTTTTAAATTAGCTCGGTATTTAAACTATATTTTTGGCAAGGATTACGGTTGTGTCACTTTCCTCCCCCTAAGCTCATCTTGACAAGGAAATATTTTTATTGTCATGCATTCTTTCATAGTTGACTGACTTTATGTCACCGTGGCGACTTCTGTTGCTACCAGATGATAAAATGAGCAAATCTAAAATATGATTTGGACATACTGTGATAAATTCATTGTTCGTATGGGTGTGTGTTAGTTTTTATGAATTGACCCAAGTTGTGCCCTGTTAAGGCTCCTTTTTCCATATTTTTCCACATATTCTAATGCCGCTTCCATCTTGTTTGAAATTAAATACGACAGATTTAGCCGAAGAGGCTGATTTTCATCTGTAGTCCCCTAGCAGGTTGTTGCATGCATGCATAACCACATACATGTGCTATAATTCAATGTGTAGCTAAAAGTAGTGTAATTTACAATAAACATTTAGAATATAAATAGAAACTAAGTCTCATCCGTAAGATTGAACAAAACAAAAGCATTTGTTAGTTTAAAAATGATTTAAGGCATGAGTACAGTTTTGATTAAGTGATTTCCTGAAACAGTTCAATGATGTAATAGTTCTTTGTTCTAAAGATAGTGTATTCAATAGAATACCAAGAATTTGAAGTCGGAGCAGAAAATGAGAACTGACCAAAACAATTTTTCCTACACCTTCTTCTTGTTTCTCCTGAGCTGTAGATTCCTGCAACTCCTCCAGAGTGACTGCCGGCCTCTTTGTTGCTCCTTTGATCAACGCCATCTTTGCCTGCCAGGTTTCGGTGAACGGCCATGCCTTTAGGTTTGCCATAGAGATCCACTTTTTTCACTTCTGATACCGATATCTGAGGTTTAGTATCTGCTGATACCGATTCCATAGAAAAACATCCAAATTCACTTAAAACATTTTTTTTAAACACAGGCAAATATACTGAATTACAAATTTGTTTCATAACTCTGCAGCAGTACAGTACAATTAAATACACCAGTAGATTCACAAGCTTGGTTAAACTTGTAAAAACAATGCAACTTTAATTTCTTCAATTGGGAGTATAGTAGCCAATGTAAAATACATAATAAAGAAACAAACTGAAAAACATTGACTACTTTGGTCAAATATGTAAAAATAAACTGCAACAAACCTTTTTTCAGAAATTCTAAGAATAATGTGAAATAAATAATCAAGCATGACTCAGAGCAGCAAGAATTACACTGAATAGATCTGACTTACAGGTCTGGCACATCGTCACCGATACCCGGACTAGAATTTTTTTTCAATATTGGGACAGATACAGATAATAATATCGGATCAGTGCATCTCTATAGTTTGCCATCCATTTTTTAGACGGTGCATTGAAGCTGTTTAAGGCTTTGTGTTTGTATGATTAAAGTACAAACTTGCAATCTGTTTGCTGTTTACGCCACATGACTCCTAACCTGAGATTTGGTCGAAATCTCTCACAACGCTATAAAAAAACACATCTTTTTCGAGACCCCGAACGCAGCCAGAAGGCAAGACTGTGAGAATTTGTGAGTGATTCATCCATGAGACAGGATCAGTCTTCCTCTGAGCAATATCTGGCACCAGCCCAGCGCTCCGTTTTTAGGTCGTTTTCGCTCAGGAGAAATACTTCCCACAGTCTATTTGTGTCAGACAACAGGACTACAGAGCTCCCTGACTCATCGTCAGCTGAGCTCAGGAGGAGACGGAGGACGATGGGCCAAAACCCCAAGAGGAACGGCTCTGTATCGATGCAGCATCAGGACCAGTTATATTGAGATCAGAGTGTATAAAACTGTAAGATATGATCAGAATAATTATGCAATGGAGATGGACTTTTATTTGTAGAGACTATTTGTTAAAAATACGTGGAAAACGGAAAGAAGGTTTAGTTTTTGCAAAATATGGGTCTCTTTGTGTACCCAATATATTGTTGGTACTAAAAAAGTATTAGATATCAGCCGGGGCGGTTTTTATCGAAAAACAACCATCAGTCTTCATATGAATTTAATACAATCGTAATGAAAGTGTCATTTTAAGGATGCGTCACACAGACTTGGCGCTTCCTCTCTTTAATCTCGACACAGAACAGCATATTAGTTCTTATTTAATGCACCATTAGTTAAAAAAAGAAAAAAGCTTGCAGTTAAAAATGTTCAAAGTTGCAGATCTCCCTCCATCATTAATAGTGCAAAGAGATTGTAAAACTTAAATTTTCAACCTGAATGCATTCGAGGTAACTATCCGATATGCGCTCTCCCCTTCACAAACAGCCAGGTCTTCGCTTCTGTGTGTGCAAACAATAGGAGAGTTATTTATATACCACGACTTGAGAGCTCTAGTGAACTGCCATTAAAAGGGTGACAGTGGATCCTAGAGAGAGAGAGAGAGAGAGAGAGAGAGAGAGGAAAAGCGATACAGCTCAGGGAGAGCTGTGACATTCTTCTAACATTTACAGAGCCAACTAATTAACGGGAGCAAGTGTGTTTTTTTCCAACTTAGCAGATTCTAATTTATTTCTTTGTCGCTGTAAGAGTGGAGGAGTTCTGAAAACACCTGACACACTCTGTTCTGTCCTGCTTCCCCAGTACGACTCCCAATACACTTGCTGGTCACCGCTTTGGCTTTAAAGGCTTAATGAGAAGTTTTCCTCCAAATGTGAAGCACCTGGATCTACAGATCAATGCTGGAAGTGTTATAGGGAAAGAAATTGAGAGTCCAATAAACAGGTACACTGAAAAAACAACTAATCTTACCAAGTATTTTTGGTCTAGTTTCTAGTGCAAATATCTTAGTACACTTGAAATGAGACAAAACTAACTTACAAGTAACTTTTCAGCAAGATATAGGAGCTTGTTTTAATAATAATAATTATTTAATATTTATGAAAACGTGCTAGTTTCACTGGCAGACATTCTTCCCATATTATCAGTGAAATAATCTGACAATGGATTTGAAGTATAAGAAGATTTTGTGAAGCAACCAAAACAGACAATGGTCAATCATAGAAAAGCCTTTTCCACCAGTAATGTGACACTGGGTAGACCGTCCTAAAATGTCTCTACTTTTGCGAGTTTTGAGTTCCAGCTAATTGGTATTTCAAAGTGCTCATAATTTTATTGACCAAAAAAAATAATAATTCCCTTTATAACTTCAGACCATGATGGTGCCACCACCACCTTTCACTCTGGGATGTTCAGTGTTGTTCACGCATCAAACAAACCTTTGGGTGTTGAGGCCCAAACGCTGGTCCTAAGTACAGACTGAATACTGCAGTCTGATCAATGAATTCAGGTGACCATAGGTGTGTAAAATTAAGCACCAGGGTATAAAGACTGGTCCCATAAACATTTAGGATACCATGATAGAATGCCAACCAATCAAAATCATGACAAATTCCATCTTGATTAGCTTATGTAATTGTTAGAGAAAACTAAACGTTGGTTTTTAGAAAGAAAACTGTGCAAGAACGATAAGTACGACACTAGGAGAAACTAGCAAACGACTGTTCAAATGATACTGCTCATTGTTGGGTCAGTTAGATTCGCTAGTTTTAGACTGAATCAGCAATTGTGTCGCCACCGGAGCTCAACGATAGTGACCCACTCTAATCAATACTCAGAAACACACTCACCGTGGAACCTTGTCAGAACAAACACCAGCTTGCTTTCCAAGGGCACCTGGTAGAGCTGTGCAGAAAAGCACGGCCGCGGCCATCAGACTGCAAATTACTGCAGAAATCCTCCCCGTCGCATGGCGAGGCTCTCTAATGGGCTGTTTAATGAGACCATCAAATGCAAATGGGAGTTTAGTTGTGACTCTCAAGAGCCCCGGCTAGGCATTTGTCTCCGCCGCATGTGTGGGTGAATATTCCACCTCTGCAATTTTCCATTCAAGAAGGAGACGTAACACTTGGCCCAGGGTGAACGCTTGCGGGAAGTGCAGACTAATGTTGCTGCACAATGATAAGAGGTGTCAATTCTGTGAAAACAATAGGAGTAAACATGCAACTTGACAGAACAGTTAGACTTAGATGGAAGAAATAAGCAAGGTGAGATACCACAGACGAAAGAAGGAAGTGAAGGATCCCTGGTAGAACTTTGTGGATCTATTGCTTTGTTTTGGACACGTTTGCTGAATTTTTCACGTACTTTCAAGGACTTTTCATAGAACTCTGAGTGCTTTTCATGAACTTCAGCAAACCTCTCCTTGTGATTCCTTTGGATACTTTCTGAGTTCTTTCCAGGCTTTGCACAAACTTACTTGGTTTTTTTCGTGGAACTTATCTGGTAATTTCCATGAGCTTCAACAGAACTGTCCGGGCGATCTTCTGGATTCAGGAGATCTCGTTGAACTTACCGTGTGCTCTTTAGGTATTTACTAGGTACTTTCTGGGAACTTACAAACCACATTACCAGAACATTCATTTCCTGGAAATCACTAGTTACTCAGACAGAACTTAATTAGAACTGAATTTCCAAAACCAAACAGTGGTTTCTCTGGATGAGAAGTTTTGGGAGTCTTATTCAGTACTCTGTCGTTGGAAATGAGAAGACTTGGCTTCGTAGCAGGTTTCATTTGGCTTGACATGGTTAAGCTAAGCCATAAACCAATCGTTTTCCTTTTCAATTTCACTTCTTGATTGAACAAATATCTAGTTATTAGTGACCCTGGCAAGAGAAGAGTAAAAATACATGCCATCATTCTCTAGTTTGCGATTATTTTCACAAAGTTTGGTCTTTTGGACATTTCTTGTTGCTGCTTGCAGAAAGGACACAGGGGATCCCTGCCAAAAGGGTTGACCTTTTCACTCACCACTCTGCCCTCCTGCAAATGGCTTCACTGGAAAGACTGCTATAGGCGTAATCCCCTGCTCTCCTGACAGACTGAATGCCAGCCCACGCTCTCTATCTACCCCTTTGAAGCACAATGGGAATGTCGGCTTGATCCGAACTTCGGCTGCAAAACCCGTCACCGTCGGTGAGAGGTTTGATTTCCTGTTTCAGCCTCTGCTCGTCTTGAGGTGACGCACGGCTGGGTTGCGCGCTCCCATAATTAGGAACGCGGCGCATCCTTTGAAGAAAAACAACAGGTTAGGTTACAGTGCTGCATCAGAATCGAGCACGAGAACAAAATGTCACGTCTGTAGCGTCGCACGTGGGGCAGCGCACGCGGCGGTGCTGATTGAAAGACCGATCGGGACATCTGGGGATCGGTTAGTCGGTGGAAAAATAGATCAAGCCTGGCAGGAGAGCGAGAGGAGAACAGAGGGAGGCAAGTGGCAGCTGTCTGCCAGCTCCACCTGATGCAATAAATACTTAATTAGCATGGCACACATGGTACAAAAGGATGCCAGCAGAGGAGGGCAGGGGGAATGAAGCGCAGAGTGCATCAGTGAGACTCCCACATCCTCTCCTCCCTTTTGAGTGAATCTGCCAGCTGTGAATTCCTGCGTTTTGTTCTGCAGTGATGTGTCTGGACTGACATGATGTGGCACCTTCGTCTAATCTCCCAGCAAACAAATAACACGCAGTGATGTAAAAAAAAGAAAAAAGAAAAAAAAAGAAAAAGAAAACAACCCTCACATCTCCAGAAAATAAAAATTATGCAGGCATAAGGGGATCAGTTTTATAACTTTTCACTCTTTTGCCATTCATCTGTTCTGTACAGCTCCCTTTCTATTGCAAAACCTTGTCAATATCCTGCTATTGTTGAGAAAACACAATTTTGTAATTTTGGTGTTACCATTAAAATAAGAAAATGCAATAAAAATCACGTTATGATTCATTAAAAAACATGCCACATTGTTCTCTTACCACTTCCTGTCGTCTTCTTCGTCTGTCCAGTCAGTAGTAACATCTGGTTACAACTTTATTTTTGTAATTTCACTTTGTGCAATGGAAACAGCATATGCGGTGAGACTGAAATTTCTTTTTTTTTTTCCTTTCAGCGCGGTCACTTCTGGGTGAAAACCTAGCAGATGCAGAGGAAGCCTAGACTCAGTTTTATAGTAGCTTTCATTGTCATACTCTCAAATGCATTCGGAAGACTTCTCATTTGGTTCCAAAAATGAAAAAAAAAAAAAAAAAAAAAAAAAAAAAAAAATTGTTTAAAAAATTAGTTCTTACCGTACACAAAGATTGGGAAAGGAAATTGCAGGTTCAAAAAGTTTGAAAAACTAACTTGGTCTCCATTTTTGTTTTACTCTTTACTCTAAAATCCTAGAAGGTTAAAGCCTTCCTCTGAACGACCAAACATTTAGTTGTCTGTTTCTGAGAACTTCTTCAGATGGAGTCGACTAACTGCTAAGAACAAGCAAGCCGGAGCGAGAAGACTGCATCAATGAAACACTTTGAAGTTTGTGGTTGCAACATGACAAAATATCTTCAAGGGGCATGAATACTTTTGCAAGGTATGAATCATCAAGAAAGAGTGGTATTTGACGCAAAATGTCTTTGACGTAGTAGTAGCAACACAAGTCACGTAATGATTGTTTTTCGGCCGGTGTTTCCTCGTGTCGCTATAGACAGAAATATTGACCCTCCACCCCCGACTGATGAATTAGCCACAGTCCAGCTGCTGTTTATTCCCTCTCATTGTCTGAGATATTATGAAATGATTCATGTGGCTGTGAAGCCGCTTATGGATGAGCCTTAGCTTTCCGCTGTTCACGGCTAATGGATTCATGAGCACTTCAGTAAATAGGCCATGGCACACGAGCGGGCCAACGGCAGCAGCCAGGCCATGAATAATGTATCGAGGCAAGTTCAGAAATGACTTCCGACTTGTAGGAGGTTTTTGCTGAACTCCTGGTTTTTCGGGGAGGAAAGAACCTTCAAGGTTTTGTTCTCTTTTCCCTTTTTTTGATGCTTCTTCAAAGGATTTTTACCCTGATGCAAATGTGCAAACTGTGGCCATCTTTGTGGAGTTAGGATAATATGCTAATATTCTTTGTTTACAGAAGTGCAGAAAAGCTATGAGGACATTAAAATTGCTCACTGATTTTTGTGAGTTGCATTTACTTACAGTCAGCTTTTCATCTGTTTCTCCAGTAAAAATGTTTCACTTACAGAACTGTAAAAACGGATTTACTTCCCTGTGGATTTCTCTTGTATTTTAACCACATTTTCTTTATACCAGACCTTATTTCTTGATTCTTCTTGGTCTAAAAGTAATCAGGCCTGAGGCTTGAGAAGTCGAAGCAAAAATGGGGTTAATCCCAGTTAATTCATGATTGGTTAATCCATGATTCATGGTTACGTTTTCACAGAGGACCAGGTTGGTTTGGATATCTTTTTTCTCCTAAATGAAATCATAAATTGATGATATTTTTCCAACAGACAGCTGTTTGACAACATGAAGTAGGCAATAAAAAAAATCTCCCAAAGCAATTAAAAAATACATTACAAACAAAGTCTGAGCAAGACTGGGGGAGATCAAAATCACATGTACATAAATAACTGAAATGGTTATCTTATATTCTCCTCATGCTCTACCCCTCCAAAAACATTACTTTGACTTCCAAAAGTTTTGGAAAAACATTCTCTCAATTGACAATGTAAAAGTGCAAAAAAAAAAAAAAAGAAAAGAAGAGAAAAATCTCTAGAAATGGCTGCACTTTCAATCCACTTAGTTTAACATATACCAAGCTATTCTATGTAATAATGTTCACTATACACCTAGTTTAAATTTGGGTTTCACTTCTCTCTCAATATTTGGAAATAATGGTGTTTATATGCTAATGCTGATGCTAACACTTTGCTCAAAGGTTCCAGTTACATCTCTGGTAAAAACTGGCCCCTTATTCTATGCTTTGCTTCAGACAGAGGGTCTGGACCATCGGTTGTTTCGAAACGTTTGTTTCCTGTAAGCTCTGTTGAGGTTTTAAATTTTATCCAATCGCTAACGTTTGGCTGTGACGTATGTAATGAGCCAGTTTGAGGCTATGAAGCTTACCAGAAATTACCCGTCTTGTAAACAACCGTGAAGAGAGAAGAGCTGATCCAGACGTGGCGGCTGTTTATGTTAATTAAATATTTGGAAGCGTGGCCAACACAGACTGAACGGCTCCGTTCTCTTCCTCTGCTGCCATTGCTAAAACTACAACCAGCCTATGACTAAAACAGCGCAAAAAAACTGATGTCATCATTCACCACTTCTCCTTCTGTTTGTTGATTGGCCCAATAGAAAATTTAATAGAGAGAGTCAAAGAGAAGGGGAGAAAGCTCAGACTGTGCTGTGAAATGAGATTTGAATCAAGCAGAATAGCACAGGAAGGCAACGGCCATGCTAGTTCTCTATCTATTTACTCAAATTACAGCATATTGTTATCATTGGTAAAATAAATGCACTACAAATGCAGTCAACCCTTCTGATTTCAAACGCTGAAAGAATGTAGATCACCAGTCATTCAGCGTAGAGAAATTACTCTTGATCAATTAGCTGCAGTTAGCAAACAGGGGTCTAATCTGTCGAGTAGTAAGTGTTTAACTAAAAGGGCAGAGCATCAGACATTGTTCCCGTGACAAAGAACTTCTCAAATGATGTTGTGTTAAGCACAAAAAGAGCTAACATGGCCTCCAAATAATCCTCAGGCTCAATGAAAAGCGCCACCTTTGCTGTTTTGGACATTGTAAGTGACCATCAGCAGGCTCGTGGACAGCCGGGCCGGACCTCTGGAGGATTCTCGTCCAACAGCTCTGGACAAACCTGCGAGCGGCTGCTAGTCCCTGGCACAGCTTTCATACAGATCTGATGCCAAAGTGGGAAGAGTGAGTCAGTTCTTTCCCCCGGGACGGCTCAGCAGCCAATTAAGGCCTTTTCTTTTATGAAAAACATCAGTCATTGCTGAATAACATTAATAACAAGAGCACATCTATCACTGTCATCTGTATAATTATTAGTTACCCACAGACAGTAATAATATTCTCAGGGACGAGTAGCTAGAAACATGCTGCTAGCTTCTCAGTGACGCTGGATTTGCTAATACAGCAGATGCAAAGCAGCAGAGTTATGTTAGAGGTGAGAGTGTGATCCACATCAGCTAATATCTATGAGTCAGGCTGGGAAGCCTGCAGCAAATCTCACCAGTCAACTCTATTGTTTCCATACACTAAAATATGCAGCCATTAACTGATCAAAAACATGGAGTCTGGACAGCTATGCAATAAATATGTTCTCCAATAGAGTTCAATCTGTCAATGCTAATATTTTATGATTCAGTGCATCCTGGGGTTACTGAAACTCCTTGAAAATACAGCTGTTTTTATGATTATTCCTTTTTACCAAGACATCAACTATTGACTGGTTTTAGGACTTGTTTTTGTTTGTGCAAAAAAGGTTCCATAAAAGAAATCTTTTATGGAAAGAGTCGTTCAACTAAATCGGTTTAGTGTACTCTTCTATGTTCATCAAGAAAAAATCGTGACCACAAAAAAAAGTAATTTAGATTCCAACAAAACTTGAAGATTGGTGTCTGCCGATATATAATTTAAACAATAAAAAAATGATTGACCTTTGGAGATGGGTAATGATTTTTCTAGATGTTCTTTTACACCAGTAATCTGTCTTGATGTGTTGCCTTCACTGCAGGCAGGTAATGTGTAAATAAAACTCCTGAATCAGACTTTTTGTCCAACAATTTAACAGTTATCCACATAAATGTCAACTCAACTGGAACCTGTATATGCGGCAAAGAGAATAACAGGAAAACAATTATAAACCAAAATGTGCTGGATAATAATTGAACAGATTCTTAAATTTTGAGTTTATGAAAGTCTAAAGTACAAGAAATACCTTTAAAAGGTCTTCAGCGATTTTTAGGACCGTTGATGATTGTTACAGCAGTGCATGGCAAGCTAACCCTATGTGATAGGTTAGAAATGTGGGTGGAGTTTGACCTTCCAGCAGGAAAACAACCCCAAATGTATGTATAATAAATGTATAATTTAGAAACCAGCGTATTCAGGCGTTAAAATAGTTCAGTCAAAGTCTGGTCAGAAAATAACTGAACAATCTGTTGAAAAACTTTAAAACTGACATTTACAGACACTCTGTCTAATCTGACTGAGCTTGAGATATTTTACAAAAAATATCTTGAATCGGAAAGCTGGCAGAGACGATCAAAATGATATGGAAGAGCAATAAAAGCTAATTTTACAGTTGAATGTAAAATTTGTACAATTTTACTTCAGAAACATAAATAGCATGTGAAATCTAAGTGGTGTGAATGATGTATAGGAAGAGAATAAACACATCTGATAAATCAGCTCTGTCTGGGTCACTGTAGAGCAAACTGAAGCAAGCAGAGCCCAACAGAGCTGCCTGATACGGCAGTCAGCACACTGTCTGCTGCGCAGACAGGCAACCAGAGAAGGCCCAGCCTCAAAATCTCTGAGTCATCGCTTGCCTTCCTCTGACTGCAGCATCCGCCCCGCCGAACGCCCCCCACCCAACCACCTTCCGACAGAAGCTCCAACTTCATTTTTCTCCCCCCAGCCCCATCTGTTGTTTCAGTCTGTATCTGTGACAGCGCGTGCAAACAGAGCTAACAGAGGAACTTCTAGCTGCCGTGGTTACGCTCGGATGACTGTAAAAGCTCAATGGAAGCTGGAAGAAAAAAAAGAAAAAAAACGCAGAAACAAGTTGGGTTCTGACCTTCATATCTGCAGTTTCTGTAGAGATCTGAAACAGAAAAAAAAGCCATGTATGAAAACACAGTTATTCAGAATTTCGGGATATGAAACTGGTCCATCAAACATCTCAGACTGCAAACTGACGAGATACGGCAAAGACAATAAACACAGAATCCGGCAGCACCGTTAAAGTTATCTATTAATAGCAGCTTGATGCAGCCTGGAGAAAG